TATAAACTTGCTTGTAGTCTCGCCAGGAGGGTCATTGGCAGGGCTGTTCTTTTATGACCCAATGAGTATACAGTCGGTATTTCATCTATTTTAAGCAGATACTAAACGAATGTGTTGCATGGAACAAGAGATCACTGGAGAGCTATTTGATTCCCAAGAAAATAATTCTCCAAACAAAACTGTGTTTTTGGAGGAAAGTGAAGGTAATAGAAGGGAACGGAATTGGAATCATATGGAGGTGTATAATTCTCTTCACTTATTAAGACAAACTTCAATCTTTTGTCATTTACCATGGATGCATGTTTTGGGGTAAACCAAAAAGACAACCATGTTTGTCCTGAATATATAAACAACAGTATTGTGGTCGAGTAATACCTGAGTGGACACTGAGGCATACAGGATGCTGTGTATCCCATGTGTGTTTCCCTTAACCCGGACCTACCACACCAGATATCGACCAGTGGAACAAGGTGATTGAGCAGCTGGGCACACCCCTACCAGAGTTCATGAAGAAGCTTCAGCCCACAGTGAGGAACTACGTCGAGAACCGGCCAAAGTACGCAGGTCTCACCTTTCCCAAGCTGTTCCCCGACTGCCTTTTCCCTGCTGACTCTGAGCACAACAAACTCAAAGGTGAGAACTTGAACTGCCTGAATGGACTGTATCTTAACCATTTATATATATTTGCATGTGCTGTGGTGGGATTCTGTAATGTAGAGCTCTGCAGTATTTCAGGGAGGATCTCACAAAATAGGTAATAACCTACGTCGTAATATCACTCATAGGATATACGATAAACATCTTTGTTAACTACAGAAGCGCTGAAACATAAGGTGTAAAATAAAATGTATCTCCCATATAGGACATAATAACATTTACACACACAATAATTAATGAAGTTGTGTTGTGGCAGGTAAAATCCAAAAATATGTATTTGCAACTTACACCACGCAGGGGTACTCAGGATTCCTGCACAACGCCTGCTTTAAATCATAACATAAATATGATGTCTGCCCATTAAATGTTTGAATAAATGATCTAGTTTTGCAGCGGTCTTGACTACCTCTACTTCATAGCACTTCATAGCACCTGTAAACCCTTTGACAGGAAAGTACTGTTGCATTGTCACACCAGAAAATGTCTACATTCTTACATGATAGATGCCACCAACAGATTCATTTATCAGATCGGTTTGGGGTTAAATGTTTCAACAACTATTGGATGGATTGCCATGAAATTTGTAAGATACCTCCAAGTCCCCCTCAGGATTAATTATATTAACTACGGGGATATCTTCATTTTTCACTTAGCCCATCTGTTCACCAGGTCAAAATTTCAATACTTTGTTTTATGATCAAAAACCTGCAAAATGAATATACATATATATACATATTATATTGGGCCTCCATATTAAATGAACCCCATTCTGTGGCCCTCTGTGAATTCAATCCATTCTCATGCAGAGCGTTAACCAAGACATCATTTATTTTTTCTGTCTCAGTTGAGAAGAGCCACCGGCATTTTAAAAAGTGGAAATTCCTTCCATTGAGATATAGCAAAATATGCCTTTTCTGTTGCCCTGCTCTTACATCAAAGCTCCTGTCTGGTAAAGTTCTCATGAATCACTTTTGTATTCTGGCTGGTCCCCGCTGGAGTGACAGTGTTAAAGGAAATGCAGCTAGAGAGAGAGAGTGTGGGAGGGTTGTGAGGCCGAGTGGAACTGCTGCTGTTTTGTATGTTTTGCAGGTAGGAACTGAGGCAGACATCCTTTGGGGCTTTGGTTATTTTGAACTGTATGAGGAAGAGACAGACTGACAGTACTCAGGGATAGAGAGAGGGAAGATGTATGGAATAAGGAAAGGTGGAAGGAGAGCCGTAGAGGAGTCGTTTTAGAGATTTACCATCCGTTTGTTATTGACGTGCTGAGGAGAACTGCAGCGGTTGCGCCCGGCTCATCTGTCTTTCTGTTCGGGTTCTCCAGTCCTTTGCTGAGGTAGAGCTATTTATAATGGGGTCAGTGTGTGTAGGAGAGAGATGATGTGTGGTTCAAGGGTTCTCAATTTCAGATCGGTCCAAGAAGGCTTGAGCGACTGCTCGTGCTGGTGGCATTCTTGTATGTTGTGAAGCCAAATGTGTATAAGAAAATACTGTGCATTCGGCATACTAATGCCCTCATAAAACTATATTTAGAAAGACACCAGTGGGAGAAAGTGATTTCTTAGACTCCATACATGACTTTTTCATGATTATCAGCCTGTAACGAGTAGCACAAAATACATTTTGCATTAATCAACAGTAGATTGGTATATCTATTGGTATATCTTGGTAGATTGTATATGGGACAAGCCAGAATCTTGAATTTCAGTGAGTCCCAGAACATACATACTCTGCAGTAAATACTCTTTTCCAAAGCTCTCACTCTGTAAAAACTGTGGCTTTATTTGCTAACCCCCATGTGATTGAGGCTTTGTGAGACTCCGGTTCCCTTTGACAAGCTGCAGTTGTTTATTATTCTCTTTAATCCCTGACATTTCTCTCTCTCTCTCTCTCTCTCTCTCTCTCTCTCTTCCTCCCTTTCTGCCTTATTGTGTTCCAATTTGCTTTTGGCATATTATTAGCATAGAGGAATATTTTCTTGCCTCGTTATCAAAACCACATGTTTTTTTGTTTCTTCAAACCACAGCTAGCCAGGCCAGAGACCTGCTGTCTAAGATGCTGATCATTGATCCCGCTAAACGGATATCGGTGGACGATGCCTTGCAGCACCCCTACATCAACGTGTGGTACGATCCAGCCGAGGTGGAGGCGGTAAGTAGGCCTTTGGCAGAGCAGTATATTGATCACCATCCTAAGCTCAATCCTCTCCTCTCTGTCTTTGAATGGTCAGCACTGTTTCATTTGTATTTGCATTGGCGAACATTTTATTATTATCCTTTTTTAATCAAAAGCAATTATAACAATTTACAACACTAATATTGAAGTTTAAGCTACAGTCTGTTCTGGGTCAGTGTTAATTGCTGCATCAGTGCGTTTTTGATTGTGTTTAAACATTTCAGTTCACATCTCATTTTCTTTTTCCTCTCACTCACGGTTTTAATTTTTATACCTGAACTTGAATCGTTTTTTCTGTTCAGTAAATAACCATCGATTTTTACGACTCGTACGATAAAGACAGCTCATTTTGCTGCTATTTGTAGTGTAGTGTAGTGTTCAGCTTTGTAATGTAAGAGCGGCGGTGTTTCTGGTTTAGATCCAATTTCTTCATCAGCGCCTCATTAGTATGAGGTGACAGTGAGATTGGGAAAATAAAAAAGCCATCTGCAGCACGATACAGTTGCACAGACACCACTTCTACTTGCAGCAATACACTAATGAGTGCATGACCAGCCGATGCATTTCAGCGTTAAACACCCTGTTGGTTAAAAAAGTAGCTTTTGTAAAGATACCACGTGACACACCTGCGTTGTAGTTCATCTTTAGAGGATTTCATGACTGTGCACTTGTCTAAGTTGTTTAGTTGTTGATGGTTTTCAATGATGACATTGTTGTTAGAGTTGTTGTGGTATGTATGATATAGCTGTGAATGGCATTTCAACACTTTTTCTGCTGTTTTCCCTTTCTGTAATGTCATCTCATGCTGATGAAGGCCAGAGATCTCATCCAAATATCCATGGTAAATAACAACCGCCCGACATCAGAGAAAATAATCCAATGGGACTAAAGACTACATATTTGGTTCAGCACTGCCAATCTTTAATCATGATTAAAAAAGAATGATAATAAACATGTTTAGAGAAATACAAACTGCATATTTTGATAGATCTTTATGAGGAGAACCTGTTTACTTATGTCTTGCTTTAGCTGCTGAATACAGACATGTAACTGTCCCTGCAAGGTCATGTCAGAGAGGTTTATGGGTGGTCCTGTCGCTTGCAGTGAGATCCCGGTGCCAGAGTCTGGGGCAGGATCACAAGGGTTGACTGACAGCATATGTGTGTCCTGTTAGATAAAATGACAACCCTCTGGGGGAAGGACATATGCACTTAAGCTGGACAACCCACCAGCTTTCCTCTTATCTCCCTGTCTGTCAGAGAGATAAGAGGAGTTCAATGCAGATTATTTTCTGTAATATTTTTATAAATGTGACAAACATTGTAGGCCTATTGGTATTTATGTAAATCACCATTTTGTGTGATGACGGCTGTATAAAGCACAGGCTGTTTTATTTTTCATCATTTACATGATTTATTTCCTTCGTGTGCCTGCTTTAAACCCAGCATGTCTTTGTGTGCACACAGTACACGTTAAAGTGACAAATTAATAGCAGGATGTGTTTCTCTTGTTCAGGATTTGTTTTTCATTCCCATCTTTGTATTTATTTGTCAACAATTCCACTTTGCTAAATCTGATGCATCATTATGTAAACTTGTATTTGTATTTGTATGGATATTCCACCTGGAAATATCAGCCATATGCATATAAATGTCCTGTTAACTAAACCGTTATTAAGATCTTTATACTCTCTCCTGTTTAGCCTCCACCTCAGATCTACGACAAGGCGCTGGATGAAAGAGAACACTCCATTGATGAATGGAAAGGTGAGAATTACTTATTTAATTAAACCATAAACAGATTTATCAAACACTTTATATGTTTTAATAACTCCCTCTCCTTTATTTTGCTCCTTGGCAGAACTCATTTACAAAGAGGTGATGAACTTTGAGGAGAGAACGAAGAATGGCGTAGTGAAGGGACAGCCTTCACCTTCAGGTACTCTCAGTGCATAACCCTAATCGCTCTGTAAGTGAATTTACTATAACCTTACTGGAGTTACTTGTAAATAGAGAAACCCATTGTGTTGTTGTGTCTCTGTCTTTTGCATCTCCTGTTTTAAAGTTAAATGTTCAGTGTTTGTGCCGAGTGTATTTGTTAAATGGTATTATTGTTTGACAGCTAATCAGTAATTGGAAAGAATGCCTCTTAACATATTTGATTGCAGACGCTGTGTGTGTGTGCACTTTAATTAGTGTGTTTGTGTAAATGTATAACATGTCATGACTTAAGATTTGGGTCCTTTGGAGTCCATCACAGGACATTTCAGTCCTCAGCTGCAGCTGACATTTTATACTGTTCTGTTGTCTGCTAAGGACCTCCAAGCACAGTAAGTGCTGTTCTCATAGTTTGCCACATGGGGGCAGTGTGGAGTCATGTTAGAACATTGACCAGGCCACTCAAACGTCACTGTGAAAATAGCTTATTGTTGGGTAAGAACAGCAGACATTCTCCATTAAAGACTGTCCAGTAAGATCGACAACACCCTCAGGCCTAATTAGGGGTGACACAACAAAAGTTATAATCTCCCATCACAAGCTGTCAGCAGAGTGTCTCCCAAGAATAGTCTTCATTCATTTATGATTTACAAGCTTCATTAATCTTATGCTCAAGTCATCTTTAAGACTAAGATTTTAATTTGTGCTGCACCCGCATGGTGACTTTTAACAGATATTTCTGATGTATTTAATGTAAGTAAGCTTACAAGTGAAGTGACTGCTGTAATTAATGCCGGCCATTAATCCTGCTTTGTTCTTCGTTTTATTTTGGGTCAGCTGAAGTACCCACCGCCTCCATTAAGCAATTACCTCCCACAGGGAACAGACACAAACAGCAGATTTACCAGATTTGTCCTCTGTAGAGGACTGTCTGTATTAACAATTTCCTCAGGTTGGCTTCACACGTATGTTCTCATCCTTTTTAATCAGGCTTTTATTTTATTTCTATTACATGCCAGTATAAGATAAAATCTTAACAATGGTCTGTACTGAAACTATCCAGCAGCTACTTGTTGGCATGTAAAACAAGCCCACCCTTGTGATCACCCTTTGACGATGTTTCCTGTGACAACCATTGGACCCAAACCTTACTTACCCCTGTTTCATTATAGACACACTGTGATTGTGGTGTCACACAGGTGTCGTTCATGTTGTTCTCTGTGTGCACTTCTCACGCTTCTCTTCTAGTTGTATTTCTGCATGCTGTCTTTGCCAGGACTCTTTTACGTTGTAACCCCTTGCTGCTGTTGCTTCCCTTAGCACAGGTGCAGCCGTGAACAGCAGCGAGAGCCTCCCTCCCTCCTCCTCCATAAACGACATCTCCTCCATGTCCACCGACCAGACCCTGGCCTCAGACACCGACAGCAGCCTGGAGACCTCCGCAGGACCCCTGGGGTGTTGCAGGTGACTAGCCGCCTGCCTGCGAAACCCCATGTTCTTCCGAAGGTGAAGAACCCAACCGAGATGACCCGACTGCAAATACACACACAGACAGACACACACACAAAAAAAAGAGTAAAGATCAAAATGAATATATTAAGAACAAAAACACGAGTCATGTAAACACAGAAATGATGAAATCTAAAGCCTGTGCATTGTCATTCAAAAACATCAGTGGTATTTAAACTGAAGTAAATGAGATATATGTTAATGATCCTCTAGTTGCTTTGCTTATATTACCCCACATATCTTGTATATGGCATCCAAACGAAACGACCAAATGCTTCGACTTGCGTCTCCTATAAAGTGCATACCGGCTGGCTGCTGGTCTCCCAATTCCTTACAAAAGCATTTATGCACCAATCATCGTGGCAAGGTGGGCTGCCATTTTGCTCATCACTACTGTACAATACGTTCTCCCTCTGCCCTTTCCCTATCAAACCCCTTATGTAATGACACTGCTGTATTTTAACCTCGAGGCTGTGTCTCAGACGCCCTCATAACCACCCAACACAACCCCCAATGTAAGGTTGCCTGATTCGTGTGTTTGTATGTGGTTATTCTGCAGGGATATGTAGTCTCTCACCCAGAGCGGCGCTTCCTGCGCTACTTGTAAATAATGTAATTCTGTACAGCTGAAGGGCACACAGAGTGGGACTGATGGCCAGTACACTGGGAGGTTTTTTTTTCTGACTAGCACACCTTGCCACATCACCGCTTTCCACCTCAGTTGCCCCCTGCCTATTGCTGTAGTCCTGCATGATTAGATTAAACTCAATGCTAATCTCACTGTATGCTAAAATGAGTCTGTATACATACTTTTGTTTATATACGATGTAAACTAACTGAACTCCAGACATTGGGGGTAGGGGGGGGGGGGGGGGGGGGGGGGCGCTGGTCACAGGGTAGGACCAGTGAGTGTGTGTGCGTGTGTGTGTGTGTGTGTGTTAACCACAGGCAAGCCATTGAGACATTAGTAAATGTCAGGGCTGAGTTCGGGACTTTAAAGGGTCAGTACATTCTGAAATAAATGATTTTGATTGTGCTCAGACTTCATGAAGTTACCCTTCAGGGGTTTAGGAAGTCTGATTTGTGTGTAATGTCCCTTTTATTTCTCCTGGCAGTGTAAGATCCGTTCCTCCGCAGCTCCACGCTGGCCCACAGCCCCGCATGTCATTGTGTACCATTAACCCCTCATAGGCACAGGTGGTTGGTCTGTTTCGCTGTGGGGTTGCCCACAAGGAGACCATTCTTATTTATTTGATTGTCTGAAACATGGAAGGCTTTTAGAAAAGGGATACAAATGATACAGTGGGAAGTTTAAAGGCGGGTGATGAGTAGCAATGTATCATTTTGTTCTCAAGAAAACCCATGTACATTCTTTCACTACACAACGCACAAAAACTAAAATGTTTTTGTCAATAAAACTAGATAGAGGCAACCCAACAGTTATGTTGACAACATTATTTCTTAGCTAGAAGAGCTTATTTATTGAATTATTTATTTTAATGGATGGAACCTGAATATGGCAAGTGCCTTTTGGAATGAAGCATCGCAAGTGCAGAAATGGTATTATTTTGGGTATTTTTTCCTATGCTTCTTCTTTTTCTGCCTTAAAACTATCCGAATCCCCAATCCACCAATGTTGGTGGAAACATAAAAATAAACACTGTTTAGCCAGATGTTGGCGCTTTAACTTTAAGGTCTAGCCAGTGACGGCGACTTTTTGTGGTGTGAAATCAAACTGCTTTCTTCAGATTGTAAGGCTATAAAGATACCTGTGCTAGTTTTTACACAACATGAAAGGTTTTCTGCCATTTTGCATATTGATTTAATCAAATTTCTCCTCAAACTGAATCTCCATAAAATAATGTCATCAGATTTTCTTAAACTGGGACCCGAGCACACAAACACTTACAGTTACAGCCCACCACTGTAGGTCACATCCAACATTTTGATATTTCACCCAGAGCCAAAAAGACCATCTAAAGTCCATCCCATTCAAAACATGAGATCCACTGCTCACAACAACAACAACAGTTTTAGCTACAGTTGTGAGTATGCAACAGTTGATTTAATTGAAGGTGTTCCTACAGCTACTAAAGCTTTTCTTTTCTTTTCATGCTTTAGATACAAAACACTCAAACTAGAAGTAGGTGATCCACAGTATAACTTGTCTACTACGTGCATGTCTTATTTATTCTGAGTTAAATAGTTCACATTATCTTGGTTTCCACAGCCATATTCCATGTTCTCACGCAGGGTGTGGGTTTATGGGCAAAGAACCATTAACAGATGTTGGGTTTAAAAACACATTTTACAAGCAAAGGAATAATTTCTGTTGTAACAATTCTTCCGTCGGATGGAAAGACTTTCTATAAACTGTGAACTGTATTTGTTTTTGGAGATATCGCTCCGCTTTATGCATAGTTAGATCAGAGTTTCCGTCACCAAAGGACAATCAGGCAACTGACAACATACAAAGATAAGATTTTACACTATCCCTTCATGAAACAAACATCCGTTTGTTTCCAGCACGTCAAAACACTATTTACATTACTTTCTCTTTCCTGTTTATGGGAACTGCATGACTCAAATGTCCGCTATTTAAGAATGACGGTTCAATGTCATGACATTGTTAAAACATCCTAGAGGTGTGATAACAGCACTGTTTAGTTGGACGTCTACTGTTATTTGACAGTCTAACTGTATCTCTGGTTCAGATGCTACAGCACAGTGGTTTACTTTCTGCATGGAGTCTACCTAAAGCACCTCGTCGCTGTACATGCGATGTCTCAGACTGATATTAATAACTTCTAATAGCTACTTTGTTGACACTCTTCCTGCCTGTGGCTTGTGTGCAGTGAAACACACACCGACTCGCAGTACCTTAGCAGAGCTAAGAGGGTGACTGAGGGCGGCGGCTTCAGAATAAGCTACGGCTGGCTTGACGCTCTGTTCAGGGTCTGGCCAGGGCAATCTTTACAGGGTGCAACTTTGAAATTTCCTTGTGTTTTTGAAAATGTTCAGATGAATCTCTCACAAAAAAGGGGTCTAAGTGTTTTGAGTCGACTCCTAGACCACAGATACGGTACCACGATACTGTTGCAGATATTACTACAGGGCATTCATATCCATCCCAACTACATTCTTCTTTTCGAGTCCAAATACTGAAACATGTTCCATCTTTTTTTGCTCTGAATGTGATCTTTTTATAAGACGTCCCTCCAGACAATTCTGTTGTAATAAAGAGGTGCTTTTGATCCTGTGTAACGCGCCTGAAGTAGAGATGATTCTAACAGCTGGGTCGTCAGCACTGAATGTAGAAATGAATTGTTTCACTCACTTCACTGCTGCCCTGCAGTGTGTGTGTATGTGTGATTTCAAATTAACCAGCATTCAACACAAACTGTCTGTAAGGTTGAATTGGAAGATGTGACCTACAGACGGATTATTTAACAGTTCATGTTTTCACATTTTTTCTTTCAACACAAGATTTTGTGGGATCGCTTATAAGAATGTTGATGGAGAGTCGGTACAGTCGTGTGTTTGGAAGTAGTTCATGTGTGTATTCACATTCAGTCACATCAACCTTAGAATTTAGAAATGTGTCAACTACTAATCCTGCTCCTATTTGTTTTGTCACAAGGGATTTAAAGTTATCTCTTGTAGATTCAGGATTCAAATTGTCATGTCCGTCAGCCATTTATTTGTAATCTGAAGATGGCTGGCGTCTCATTCAGCCATAACATTAATGCCGATATCACAAGTTAGGATGCATCTTGTACTCAGCTGTGCCAACATAAAATCTTTGGACTCAGTACTTGTGACCCCCAGTTTATTGATTTTCACCTCTTTCTTTCAAGTCATATTGTATATAACAACAATCCAACAATGCAATAAAAACTTTATTGCACTCAGACAGGGAGGCAAGCTACTGCAAGGGTCGGGCGATGCTGAAATGTTTAGAGTCTTTAAATGTGGAACTCTACAGTAATGAAACCCTGTATAGCTCATCTGAATCAGGTGATGTTGTTCTTCAATTCTTTTACAATTACCTTCTCTCTTCTTTCTTTTACTCCATGCTGTTTTTAATGAATCATTCTTTTGACATTGTCAGGTTGAAAAAAAGAAGAAAATAAATTATATCTGTTTCACGCTGATCTCAAAGCTTCAGGCTATAGCGTTTCAAATAAAGTCAAAACAAATGCAAAAGAAAAAGAAAAAAAAATACTGAAAGCTGTTACTGTAAACACGACATTTTAAAGGAACTGTGTATGTAAAAATAGTATATGTATGTGATTGAAAATAAAAACAAAATCTTTGATCTTGGACTACAGTGTACCTGTTTATTGATTTATGTGTTTGTTTCTGGCCTTCTTCTACATAGGAACCACACGTCCATACTGTCACAGTGACAATAAGTCCCACCTACACAGACTCTAATTCAGGTCCAGGCTGATTTAAAGGCTGGCATCTATGAGCAACTTCTCAGGCAGAATGTGTATAAACATGTTGCCTGGTGGTGCAGCATGAAAGCAAGTGCAGTGAACTTTGTTATTTAATGTTCATGATGGAGTGCAACATAACAGAGATGGATAGATTTGTTTACTATTACATATTTCCATATATGTTTCATACTGTGCTAACTATACCTTCTCTGGTTGGGGTTGGCAATTATGGTCGGTGTTGAAAGACACTCAAAAAGGAAATAAAGGGAGACTCAAATAAAAATGCTTTTTTTATTCATAATTAGTTATTTTGCGTATCAAGTATCATGTCATGAAAATATTCCACTACCCCAGTCCTCCTCTCCCTCCTGTCCTGTGTCCATAATCTGCTCTTTTGTGTTGAACTCACAGAACTAGGTGCCGCTGTCAGCTTGGCTTAAGCCTATTATTTCCCGGTGGAGGGTGCAAAATGAGAAGCGCAGGCTCGCTCCCCCTCCCTCCTTCAGTTATTCAGGCACTCCCCCCCCCCCCTTCATGTGCACATTCCAGATGTCCTGCATTGACCAGCAGCAGGTTTAAATGGGACCTGGTCTTCAGAGGAAGAGTAGCCAGCAGCAGCTTCTTTTGAGAGAAATCCAGCTCAGGTCTGTACTCAGATGTTTTGTACCCATCAGCAAATCCACACCGCGTGTGTGCATTTGGCTTAAAGCTACATAAATACACTCATAAAGACTTCAACAATATGCAGTCACGTTACAGACATTCACTTATTGTACACCGGCCCGCACGGACTCAAGCACCATCATGCACACAATGCTTGCTACTAAATTTAGCCACCGGGCTTTTTAAAGTCCTCAATGTTGACACACTTGATGCTGTAATTCACTTTCTTCACAGTTATGACCCACAAACACAACTCTGAGTTGGTACATTGTTGCTGCAGCTTGATGCAATTGATAAATTGTCAGAAGACGACAGGAGACTATTTTTAAAACTTCAATCTCGTATGCTCAGAGGTAGAACGAGAAGTGTAATTCCCAAGAGCATTCGAAGAAAGACAGCAGCTACACATCTGTTAATAGGGAGAGGGACAATTTGTCGACTGAAGTTCTGAATTATTTTATCTGGGATTTGTGCCAATGACCCATCGTGCAAGTCTTCAAATTTATCGTTACGAGCTACAAAACTTTCCTAAATCCGTATCAACTCAATACGTGCCATATCCATCTGCATATGCATCACACCACAGTGCGGACTAGCAAGTAGTGTCTACGATTATCTATAAAATATTTACATTACAGGCTCTTTTTTTGGTCATGGGGTAAATTAAACAGCACAGAAGCACATACACAGTAATATTATCCAATTTAAAATGGTACGCACATTGACCGACAGAACATTCAGTACCACCTTGCTGAGACTTAACAAACATGTAAGTGCAAGGAGAAATCTTAATATAAAATATCGCACATTGATAACTTTGCTTAAATACCAAATAAACATTTAAGTATTACTTTCATTTCTTTTTACATACATATGACTGTGTTGTTTTCTGCATTGTTTCACTCTATGTACATCAGACAGATACAGAATTACATAGAACAATAAGATGTTTTTGGTTAGATTTTTAGAAGTGAATTATGACAGGGAGGCGTTTTGCATGGTCTTGTTGGGATCTGGCTCTAGTCTAGAAGCACCCATGCTCCTTCCTGTCATACAATGTCTGATGGAAACTCCAAGATGAATGACTACACCTCCCAGCACAGCCAAAACTTGATCCTGGCCCCTCATTGGCCAAGAAGTGGGCCCCCCACTGGGTTCGAGACCTGGTTTATAAGCGAGCAGGAAACGCCATTCGCTCTCTTCCCTCCGGACCTCGTCCTGGCAACAAGAAGATTCACGAGGAGCCGCGGCCTCATCAAATCCTATCAGGTCACATGTTACATTCGCTGGTCGAAACTACAGACTGTGTTTTATTTTGAGTTTTGGATCCCGTAGTGCGAGAACGGATAATCTCTACGACCCGTCCTCCCACCCTTTAGTGCACACCTTGCCGGCAAAAGAGGGCAACTGAGCCCCTAAAGAGCCGAAGATTTCCGGCCAAAGACGAGCGACTCCCGCACGCCTCCGACGTTAAGAAGACCCCTCTCTGCAGCAAGGGGATTGAGTCTGCGCTAGCTCCAATAGCCGCGCCACCGGGACCCCTCATCTCCCGAGGACTGAATGATTCCCACCACGGGAAAAGGACCCTACCGAACGAAGCTTCTCAAAGTAAGAGTTACTGGTATCTGGGCTTAGCTTAGCTTAAGCTTAATTTAGACTATTCGTTTATGTCGTTGTTATTCCTGTATCTTGTTGTGTTAAGTTACTGTCGTGTTATAACGTGTTATTACGCCAGCATCGTGGACCACGGAGTCCCGTTATATTGTGTATTTCCTGCTGTAACCGTTCGCATTTGATCCGTCGCTGCTAGTGGATGTGGAGCTTGTGATTCTATCACTTTAAAAACTAAAACTACGGTGGCCGACTCTCGTCTGGCCGACCGAGTTTCGGTGTGATGGGGAGACAAACTCGCATTTCACCGCAGTGACAAATATCTGTTTGTTTTGGGGATTCTTTTATTTTGTTTTTGGTTTCATTCTCTCCTCTTTAAATCGGCTCTGCGAGTGAGATCTAGAACCGCACCTATCACCGTAAAAGCGTGCTGTTCCTCACTACTGCGCAGAGCACCGCGCTGAGAGCTCGATTTTCTCTCTCTCTCCCTCTACTAACCCGCACACACGTAGTTAGAGCTACTGATTTTGGGTGAACCTCTCAGACTCGTGATTACGTAATCTCTGACCCCAACCCACATGGTACGCCGTCCCACGTGGTGATAGCAGCCACCTCTCAGCCATTTTGGTCGCCGGTCCCTAGACTCCGCCATCTTTGACTGTAGGCTCACACGCCCCTATTGAGATTACCCACCATCACTGTTGAGTAGGCCCCCCCCCCCCTTCCTTTCCACACACACGCACGCACACACACACGTACATATATCGATACAGATATCCTTACCCCACTTTATTCATTTGAGTTTAGGTATTAGACACATAATTGTATGATAGCGTTTGTTGATTGTGATATTACTTGATTTGATCATTTATTATTTTGATTTAATAAACTCTGTTATATTTTAAAGAGCAGTCGTCTGTGATTACTTGTGCATAGGTGTGTAATAACAACTGGATGTAGTGGCCTGTGCTCGAACTTAACCCTTCACTCGCACTCCAAACGTGTAATAGTATTCAGACTGTTAATATCGTGAGTGACCACTAATTATGAGACTTAGTTTATAGTTTGGTTATTGGTCCCTGTCCGCAGGGTGGTGCCCCGTTCTTATTAGTAATTACTAATTAAATTATTGATGTTAATAACTCCATTGATGTTAATAGTTTAGTTTCATATTTGCTGATAACCAAACACGCTCCTTTACGTTCCCAACAGTCTTTATGCATTTTCAGGTTGTTTTTTGCTGAACACAACCTTTCTCAACATTTCCCTTCTATATGGCTCCAGGAGCGAAAGTAAAATAACGATAGCACCATGTATCATCACAGACCATGGTGTACTGTGATTACCGCCACGGTTTCTGAGTTAGAGAGTGTCTGTAAGCTGTTTAAATAATGCAGTATTTACAGATAGTCAGTCTGGTATCACTCCAGGTGATGTCTACATTTATACAGGTGTCTTGCCTTAGACCTACACCTCCTATTTCTTAAATAAAAACATGCCATCAACCTCTGCAATGCAACTTTCCGACTTTTCCCTCAACAACCAAATCCTGTTTGGAGCACTCGTAGCGTTCACGTCTTATAGTAAACCATTTCCAGTCTTGGCTAGCATTTCCCCGCCCTCCCTTCACTGTATCCAGATGGTGTTGTTACGATCTGGCCGGCGGGGGTCGGTGGCGGGGGAGTTGCCAGTCGCAGTAAGGTCACTGAACGTGGAGAAAAACTGCTCCATCTCTTTCTGCAGCATCTGATTTCGCCGCTCAGCGTCGTCCTTGGCGCGCTCGGCGTTGCGCAGCTTGATCTCCGCCATGGTGTACTTCTTCCTCTCCTGGTCCATCTCTTCGTGGAGGCCCACCATCTCCGTCTCCAGCTCCAGGTTACGCTGCTCCAAGCTGCAGAGGAGGTCAGCACAGGGTTAGGGAAAAGAGACAGAGACATTTGGGATATACGCCTATTTGATTCATGACTGCACTAAATAAGAAGCGAGAGCCGGCAGCCATGTTCATTTATCTTTAGCAATTTCCTTCTAATGTCATCGAAAATACACTATTTCTCACCTCTTTATCCTGGCCTCGTACTCCGTCTTCTGCTTGTGCATCTCCTGTTTAAGACTGGCCACTAAACTGTGCAAAGCACTGTGACCACCGGGTCCATTACCAACAGTGTAACCATCACTATTATTACTACTGCTGCTGGTCCCCTGACTGCTCCTCCCTGCTCCACCTCCACTTCCTTCCCTGTTGCTGTTTCTGCCCTCCCCCTCGCCTCCTCCACCGGACTGGGGACGCTCATTTTCCTGTGCTGGTCCATCCAGGTCTTCATAGTGGCCTCCATAGAAGTCCTGCTCAGGGCAGGTAGTAGTGGAGGAGCGACAGGAAGTGGAGTTGTCGGGAAGAGAGATTTCACAGGAGGAGGTGGACCAGGTGGCGCTGTCTACGCTCTGCTTGTCCTCATGGCTGCTGTTCAGACACACGTTGGTGATGTGGTTCTGCTGATGCAGGTTTTGATGGTTTAACTGGACATTGTCATACGTGGACAGACGGTTCTGGTTGGACGTTTGATCCCCATGGGGGCAGTCGCGCGTTTTATTGGTCTCGCGCAACGTCACGCAGCCGTTTGGTACCCAGAGACCGTTGCGGCCGCTCACACCTCCTGTGACCACGTCAGTGCTGGAAATGCCCATGCGCACAACTCCAGTCCCGTTCCCTCCGGAGCTGCTTCCACTCGTCACGCCGCTGGTGCCCATTCTCGTGCCGGAGCCTTTGAGCGTCCCAGTACGACGCACCAGCAAACTCCCACCACCAGTCAAAGTCGGGCTCTTTTCTTGACTGGGGTCTGAAGAGGGCGAGGAGCTGAAGGAGCCGTTTGTGACAATCCCGCTGCCTTTACTGAAAGCCGGGTTCTTTTTAACGGTCAGCGGTGGACTGCGGGTGATGTCGAAGCGTCCTATGACACCGTTACGAGGGCTCGCTGATCGCGGGGAGCCACCGTTGTCCACCTGCTGGCGGTGCGAGGGAGACTCGGGTGCTTCCCAAACACACTGTCGCACCACCTGCGTGTTGTTGTTCTCGGCATTTTGAGACACCGTGGTGTTGGCGGAGGTAGAGGTGGTGGCTTGCCGCCGTTGCAGCTCGATGTTGTTGTTGGCAAGCTCGAGGGCCGTGGGGCTGTCTTCATTCAGAGGGAAAAGCACGTCATGGCGGCCGATCAACACGGCCATGAGCTGCTGGACCACAACAGTGCCTGACAAGATGAGACCACACGTTACTTTAAAAATGTTCATTCAATTACGGTCAAAACAAAATGTCAAGACACTCGACCAGCAAGAAAACATACCTTCCATAATAGTGACTGGATCCTCAACCTTCGGCCTCAGGATATTTGGCCCAAAGACTGTGGCCAAGTTTTGGACGCTCATTTTATTCACTCCTGAATATGACTGGACTTCATCTAGAAATCTGGCAAACAGAAATATGTTTAGTAATGATCAAAATTAGAAATATCACCTACATTAACAATCTATTAATACCTGCAGATGTACTTGAGAAGGTTGTAGTTCACTGGAGGTAGACTTTCCACAAGCTGTCTCAACTCCTTCACACCCTGCAGATGAAGCAGATACTTTTTAGTCGAAGTAAGTTCGATCAAAAACAAAAATGTATTGAAATACTACAAGTTCTGGTGAATCATGAGCAATTTACAGCACATCAAATACAACAATAACACCCACAGCCCAAATAACAATCAGTGAAAAAGAGGGGAAAAAACCTGATCAAGGATCTTTTATTAAAACTGAAAGAGCATCAATGTTTCTCCCAACGATTCATCATGCTCATTAACCTTTTTAAAGAAAGCAATGATTTGTTTTATTTAAAGGAACAAATACAACGAAAGATTCATCATCTGTCATCTAAAAAGTACTAATTATTCCCATCACTCTCTGAGGTAGGTGTTCAAAGGGATGTTTATTCTTTAAGCTGAGGAAATGTGTTTTTGTATTTATGACAAGATTTTATTACTACAGGGATTCATGACTCAGTTTTTTTTTTTTTTTACAAAATACAAAAAAAAATAGTCAAATAAAATGAAGATTTATATAGTTTTAATTAAAGTGAATCTGAAGTGATCTCACAATCTTTTAAGGAATATTGGGAATTTAGCTTACTGTGTTCCTCCTTTAATGAGGTTTAAAAGGCAGAGCGGCACTTATCTACGCTTGAGATGTTTAAACTTAAATACAAAAACACACCCAATCACATGGATACACAAAGTCACAAACAAGAGCTCTGAGTGAAAATGAAAGAAAGACGTTGACACTGTGAGGAAGCCAAAGACTTGTCCCCCTGCTGTGAAGCGTTATCTTTATGGTTTGGAGGAAATCCTATTTACATGTTAGAAGTCAAGACGGGCACAACAAAGTCATTCTGTACGGAAACAGAATGGATGACCGCGCAGCGAGAGACCAGCTTTAATGCCACAGAGCAGGACTTTGGATGATTTATGAGAGAGCATTTCAGTGCTCACTTCGGTTGCTATGAAGTATATAAAGTAAGTATAAAGGTATAGGAAAGGAGAAAGTCGTCAAGTGACCTTTCTTACCATTTCATCATCTTTGCTGAGGAGCTTGGTGCAGGCCAGAAAGTCGTCATACTTGTGGAAGGGCACGACAGGCTCCGGCAGCTCTCTGAGATACAGCTTCAGTAGAGAGGCTACTGTATGCACATCTGTGTTACTGCACGGGGAACAAAAAAGACAGAAATGGGGTTGAGGTTATTCATTATTATGGGTACGTGGCATTGAGGCAAACACAAATCATCATCAGCAAGGACAAATAATGTAAATAAAAAAAAAAGAGCACTTTCATGATCGGAACATGATCAAGTGTAGAAGTTAAAAGGAATATTTTGACATTTTGGGAGATATGCTTATTCATGATTTGGCATCGGAAAGAAGAATCACACCACTCTTATCTGGTTGTGAAATATGGCTGGCTGGGAGCCTAATCAAAATGCCCCAAAAACCTAGGATTTCAGATGAGATATTTGGGCTCACTGAAGAACCTTATGTGGGAGAATCATCCATTTTAGCAAACAGGTCATAAGCAACAAGGCAGACAGGTAACAAGGAAAGCAACAGAGGGAACAACAACAACACTGGGGCGGGTTTCGATGATCTGCCAAAAGGCAAGAGGATTTCCACTTCAGGCTCAGAGGCACTAATGAGCCAACTGGAAAGGCAGGAGGTTACAAGGGAATACAGCCAGGTCAGGAGCAGTTAGCAAAAATAAAATCAGACATGTGTAGAGACAGAGGAGGGTGTAGTTGTTGTGTAGGTAGGTGGCGTGTCTCAGTAAAGCCACCTACAGACCTCATAGTGTGGAGCCAGATTGTAAGTCCAATTTAGTTGCATGCTGATTTCTAAGATGGTAGAGTTTGTCCTGATCCCATAACACAGGGGATTTCTGATTAGACCTCTGCTCAGGATTAAGTTGTGTGGAGCGATGCCACTAACAAGAATGATTTGTATAAATTGTCCCCAAACGGTTGGTCATACCAGCATTTAGAGCTGTTATTACGTAACCAAATCTATTCCTATTATTGGCATGAACAATGGATTTTGCATCCGAGGGCAAAGTACATTTGAAGTTACATTTTGCTTTGACACAGGAATTCAAACTGTTGATTAAATAATATAGCAAACTATCTTGACAGCATTTACTTTTGAGGAAAAATGGAGGAAGCTATCACAACTTCTTAGCTAGCTATTTGTCACCACCCATTTTTATGTAACCCCAGAATAAACTGTCACAGGAACATATTTTTGGACAGTTATGAGACAGGAGTCAATGGTACAAATATATGTCCGACAGTTAGCAAGCTCAGAGCTTTTCTCCTCTTAGATAACAATCCTGACACATTTTCTTTGTTCTGCTGGCACAGTGCAGAGAACACGGGCAGCGCTACATGTTCCTGGCTGTTAGCTCACCAACTATCCCTTAAATTATCATGCTTCTAGTACTGCCTATTATGTGAAGACGCATGAATGACTGAGCTTTTCCACTGTCTGGTGTGACAGGGCATAAACAACAGAGAGAGACATCTCAATCAAACGCCATCGTCACGCACCCACACAGCCTGAGAGGTCTAATCAAGCAAGTGAAAACACCTGTGGGGGTGGACAAAGGGTGTGCTAGCAAAAATGTGTTCAGTGCCTGCATTTGCTAAATATTTGTTCCAATGCTGATGCATTTGGCTACATAAATGTTGGACTGACTAAAAAGACTAAAAAGCTGGATTTAAATTTGATTGACTTTTAATGTTTGATATGTTATAAAAGGCAGAAAAACTACCCCCTTTCCAAACAGCAACATTTTGACTTATCATGGCAGGAAAAGCACAGGTGGAAATAATAACATACCGACTGATCTGGTTCAGGTGTCTCTGTGAGTCAGCAAACACAACAGCAGCAGCCCGAGAACTACCATTAAATCCACCGGCTTACGACATCAAAGCGTCAGACATTAGATCACTGTTTGGTACTGCTGTGTTTTACAATGCTGCACTGAAGAGGTACAATGGGGATGGGAAGGAGCACAGTAGCACAATAACTTGTGACAGTCATAAAAAAGAAAAAGTCCCTTTTCTCCAATTTACCAGCCGCCCTCAGTGCAGTAAAGGCAACACATCCATAACTATCTTCCAGTCAGCCACAACACAGGTATTGTTTCAAAAATAGAATATTAGCACTGATAGAAGTAAAATATGAGTGTAGACGGATTAAACTGTCATGTTAAATATTGATAACTTCTAAGTTATCAATATTTAACAGTCGCACAGACAGAAAATGCATGACATTCAAATGAAACAGTCATCCTTCTTTCCATGATATATCTTTATGGTTTTGCAATATATATATGTAGAAAATATTTCTTATGACTTGGTCATCTGTGTTTGTTATGCTTGTATAAATTGGGAGATGTGCAGAACTTCACCAGACTACAGTCTGGACATATGAACTTCACATTAAAATACACTTAGATCCGAGCAGCCAGTCGGTACGCTTATGGTTTCCTTACCAATCAAAAGAAGGTTTCTCTCCACAGTCAAAGGCATCCTGCAGCTCTTTGACCAGGTTGGCCTGTCCAGGCAGCCTGAATAGGCCCTCCTCCCTGAGGCCCCACTGCCGGATGAAATCCACACACTGCTCTACCAGCATAGGGGCCAACTTGTTCCCAAACCGGCGCTCATACCGCACAGTTTCCTCCAACTTCTGACCGAAGATGCCTGAAACACAAGACATGATGGTGCGACATTAATAAATGCCAATGCTTCAAAAATATCGGTGTTGTGTTGTTTTGTTTTCACCCCATATATTTGAACATTTATTCATTATGACCAACCTGTTATATTGTATTTATAATATATAAACCCAGATATATACAATATGTTTCTCTCTTTACAGCTAAATCATTTAGGGCATGATTTCAAAATGACAAAAATGATAATTTAACCTTTGAAATAAATACTATTTTATATCCTGCACAATTTAACTTTCTCTCCCAAGGAGAAAAGAGCATTTTTCAAAGAATTTGAAAAACCAATAACCTTGCATCTGCAGCTTAAGGCACATCAAAGAGAGCAGTTCAATTGATTGAAAAAAATAATAATTCTGATAAGGCTGGCTAGACAGTCCAAGCAAAAAATATGTAGACCCACAAAGCTTTAGTCTGATGATCAAATCTCTAACTTCCCGCTGAGTACCTCTCGCCTTTTGTCTGAGGGAGTAGCCATAAAAAAAAAAGAAAGAAAGACTGATTTCCATTTGCAGCCGTCTCATGTGGATGCAACACGAGAGGGGATTAAGGCAGCCTTCCTGAGAGATTTGGATCTGCATACTTTTCCGGTCTCCAGAGACAGACAGAGGCTACTCACACACATGCACACACGTGGTACGACAAAGTTGGACTGAGCTTACCGGGATGCACGTGCTTTTGACAGCATTTGACACAGCAAGAAGCAGCTTCAAACCAACTGGTGTTGATGTGAAATAGTTTAAATCACTGGGTTTGTAAAGGTGTATTGGTACATCGCATGAATTCAGATTGCAGCTTTTCTAGTAAACTAATGCAAATGCCTCATTACAAATATCATGGGACGCAAGTTGATTTTTCACAAATTAATAATATGGTATGTTGTCACACTCACCCCTCTTGAAACTGACACAGCTTGTAAGCTTCCGGAAGAAACGGCTATCAATAAATTTGTGATACGATAACACACCAGAGGTGCAGAATTTAAAGTGTCTGCATTCTAGCATTTTCCAAAAAAACAGCCTCAGTTTTGGCAGAAAGGAAAACAAAAACCATGCAGAAATAAAAGAGATGCATTGGTTTGATAGCAGGTCAGTCAAACGGTCTTCATTTCCATCTCACAGAAAACGTTTTTCTTCAATCGTCTTTCACATCAACGAGAAAGAAGCTGCTCAGAAATGAACAGTCTTTTTAAGAGTCTTGTGCTCATGTCTTTTTCCTCAGGGTCAGTCGCTTTGGGGATTTTTTTCCACTTCAATCTTTGCAGCAACACAAATAAGACAAAACTTTAAACGGTGTCAAATTCCAAAGAAATATTTGAAGCTGTGTATCCATTTCCCAAATCTTGGTTCAGAGTGAAATACAAATAAGTCAAGCTCCACCAGAGCAAAGAAAGATGAATATCCTCACGTATCGAAAAGAGCATCAGAGAACAAAGAGAGAAAAAGTGACTGGATGAAAATGAGGTCATCCCTCCAGACCTTCTGGTCATGAGTCTGGGAAAGGTTTCCCTGGATCACATGTAACTGTGTGTGTGTGTGAAGCGATTATGAACAGTGTGCATGTGTGTTTATATGCATGTTTGCTGGCTTGTACCACAACTGCAAAGACTTCATTCAGCACATAAGAGAGACATCTCCACTCTGTAAACACCCAGCAGGTTACTTCAACACTCTCACATTATCGCAGCAAAACAGGCCGACTGCTGCACACACACGCACACGCACACACACACACACACACACACACACACACACACACACACACACAC